AACGGAACGGGTGGTGCAGAGGGTTGCAATGGATGCCCTGCCTATAACAATCGTGTTTCGAAAAGCGCCAACCTAAGTGGAACGCAGAAACGACAGAGTTGCCAAAGTCGAAGTGAAAGTACCAAACCGGAACCGGCGCCTGTGGATGTCAATGCCTTGCAAAATCAACAAAATTCGAATGCCACGGTTGTCATTGCATGCCAGAACTGTGGCACCACTATTACGCCTCTCTGGAGGCGTGATGAGAGTGGCCACACCATCTGCAATGCTTGTGGTAGGTATCGTGCTTTTCGCGTTTATCAAACAGTATTTATTAACAGAACTAGGTCTCTATTACAAGTTACATGGCGTCCACCGGCCGATGACCATGAAGAAATCGACTATCAAAAGACGAAAACGAATTATCCCAGCATCGCAGGATGAGGAGATGGAAGATGCAACCGAGCCCGCCGAAATGCAAGGTCAATATGAACAAAATGCCGAGAAGGGGTCAATGAACGAGGACGGGTCTGTTAACCTAGGTCTTCGTCGCCGCCCAGACCATCCGCTCACGATCGAGCCTCAACCGGTTATCCGACCTACAAGTAGAACAATATCGCCACTGCCTTCGACCTCGGATCTAGCTGCGTATCACCAGTCAAATAACCCACGTCAGTATACCGGATCCCTGAACGACGATAATCGACTAGCCCCCATGGCGTCTATGTCATCAAACAACGACAGGAAAACGTCACTATCCCCTGCCTCGTTTCTGTCGCCAACTCGAAAACGATCCTTCTCTACTACTGAAAGTGAAGCATTTGCCTCACTAGAAACTGGACAGGAGAGCTCGAAACGAATCTCCTCGATCAATATTAAATCGATACTGAATCCATCGACGTCAGCCACCACTCCCCCCAATTTAGGAACAGGAAGTGACGATGGCGACTATTCCCTGCCTCCCATACGATCACCTGGTAGTACCATAGCATCAGCACCGAGTCCCAGCGCCTTTTCCAACCGGGATAACACGCCAGGTGCTGGCCCGCGCGATTTTGATACTGAGCGGATAAAAGCTGAGCGTCGAGCAGCTTTGCAACGCGAAGCGGACAAGATGCGAGAAATGCTTGCCGCAAAAGAGAGAGAATTACAAGAACTTGGACATGATTAATGAGTAGGATCCACGATAAGACATCAACGATTTATGAGGTGCCTCTTGGTCAGCAAGGTGTCATTGGACGCGAAATTTTAGTGAATGGAAGGCGAGTCAGGAACCGGCGCATTTTGGATTTCACAGCACACACGGCCTTCTCGGATGGGTTTCAGCTCATGAAACTGGAGTTATTGCTGTCAAGGAGCATGGTGTTTGACATACGTGTCTGGTCTGCTTTCTTTGTTCTCTTCTAAAAGCTATTGGGAGGACTATACAGAACTACTGGCCTCGGCCAGCGATACCACTCTATCTCTCGAAAAGCACATTGTTTACGCTACGGAAAATGCACATATAGACAGGGTCAGGCTGTATGTATCGCAAGATAGTTTACACGAGCCAAAAAAGAGAATGCGGTGTCGCGTTGAGTGACTGAGTCGACAACTTGATCAAGTATCAGCTTTGAGGCTCCTTTCCGCTTCCTCTTTGATTTATTTATTGTGATAACGACCTTTGTTGAAAAACAAGATTTTTTGATAGAATTTGCGTAGTTTTCTGAGACAAAAAGTCCATTCTATACATGGTTTACGAAGGTGCTCGCACGTAAAGCATCCATTGTGTGGACATCATAGCGTAGCACGAAGCCCCGTGCTCACTACCTATGTAGGCGCTCCAATGCGTACATAGCCCAACCTTGACAGGCCATTAGGGATAAGAGCAAGTTGTCAGGCAGTAAGGAAGTGATCAGAAAACCCTGGATGTCGTGTGATTACAACGAAATATGATGCCCTCAAGGATCATGAACTGCAAGGCTTGTTGGTAAGGCTGATTGATCCATACAAATGTAACGCTGCGGAAAGAAAAGCGGCGAACTCGTTTACCACAGATTGTGACATTATGAGTTGAGCAAATCCAGTTTCCAAGACTATTTAAACCGTGCAATGGTCTATCAGAGCGGGAAGAAAAAGTTTCCTTGGCCATCATAGAAGATCTAACGACGGGTAAGATAGCAAAATGCCCCCACAGCTCAAATTCTTGGAATAAATATGTTAGATGTATCACCACTGGCATGCCATTGACCAATCACAATACATAGGCCGGCCATTCATGGTATATCCCTTCATCAACCATATAAACGCCTGGCGTGGAGTAGTTGAGCATCGGCCCATGTAACTGCAGCGTTCATGGAGGGGATAGAGCTGTCGTGCAACTGTGGTGGTCAACGTTCATGCATACAATGCGTCTCTGCAATACATTACCTATATTAGAATTGGTCTCGCATGCAGCATTTACGGGTGCCTTGTGCTGCCCGTTCATTGTCGCGGGACAAACTTGACGGGTAATGTTCCCTGTTAAGTGTTTAAACAAGGCAGGATATCATTAACATAGCGTATAAAATTAGGATTGAACAGCATTACAAACAAGTAGCCTATTAATAACACTTTGGCTCGCAGATTTCTGCGTGGCTAGCCCAAGCCTGAGTAGATTGCTGTCGGTCTAGGTGTTCAGGAGAGTTGGATATGGTGGTTATATGGAACATTGTAGACGAGGAAAACCTAGAAGACGTCGCGGAAGGATAGCTGACCGACTGACACGTATCGAGTGAGGTGTGTATGCAACTGATTTCACTCGATACAGCGCTCGCTCCCACTCAAGCAGACACTGCGCCTTCAAGCTCCGTTCCCATGTTGTGTGTATGCCCTTAGAATCCCTGCCAAGCTGGACAATACCAGCAACATTAATTGCAAGGACAAGATTACACGTTATAGGCGACTGATACTGAGCTGAGCTTGATGTCGATGTCTACTTTGATATATGGATACACAGTAAATCACATAGTTCACTAACATATCAATATGGCACGAATTAACTTGGCTATGAGGGCACTCAAAACGAGAAATGACCAAGCTAGATTAAGCATATACCTAACAGCGGCCTGTAATCTTTTATATTTAAGCAAGGTTGGTGATTTTCGTTGCTTGAGGAAGAATAGGTTCAGGACCAGTCTCTTATTTGAGCATATAAGGAGCAGTCTCAAGCAAGACGAAAGGTGAACCAGCATCCGAGTAAAAACCAAAAAAGGTAAGCCGATTAATCTGGTGAGAGACACTTGGATTCATGTCAACAGGCTAGGGCAGAAAACGTTCGGCTATGCGAAAGTCAATACGTCTCTGAACGACCAAGGTACCTAGCAGGCAGACATGTCGTGATATTGCCAGGGCACCATGTTTCGGATCCTACCGTATACGCATATTGAGCTAATTTAGACTCGCGGCATTTGCGGAGATCTAGATGTTTTAAATGTCTATCTCCGGTTAGGGATCCGTCCGATCAAGATAATCAGAGGATCTCCAAGTAAACGCAAAGAGGTTCGATATGGTCGGAGTTGTATCTGAAATGAGCAAAAGCTGAACGTCCTGGCGTCAGGCCTTCAGCACCAAATTTTTGTGTCTCTTGGAAATGCTGTATGCTCACTACTGCACACCCTTATAGGCTCCTTTCGAGTTCCGTGATGACCGGCGGAGCACCTCCCGAGACTCCGATCCACGGTGAGTCGGCAGGCAGCTGCTACTGTACCTGTTCTGCCTAGGTACTTTCCGCTGCATTTCCGCTGTGCAGGTAAGCGGGTTCGCCTAAACCAATGGCGCCTTTCTTGCCCCAGGATTTGAACTTGTTACCTACCTACACCAAACTTTGCTCACATCAATGATCAATCGACAGAGACATCATCCAACTTTTCTGCTTACCAATACGTCAGATGATAAGACACAACGTGGTCTTGGAGCAGGGAAATATCTTGAGTGATCTGCGATTTGTTACCCCAAAGCTAAGGATGCTGTGTGTCGGTGGCTGATTCTAAAATCTCACCGACAAGGCAGACCGGCATGGTCTTTATTTTTTCTCTCCGATAAACCGTTTCTTGGAAAGTTCCAGTGCTTTCTAGACAGTCTTGAAGTGATACGAGGAGCATATCAATCAATCATTAAATTATAGCGGAGAATCAAGCATCTGAGCCTCTGAGTCTGAGCCTCTAGGGATGTGCTAAACCCCACATAGACACTCCGGGGAAGCGCATGCTCGGGCTTTATCAGAGTCACGACTCCGATCCGGCTGACAATGAGCCTCCAAAAGATATCACAATGATATGCATTGCCTTATAAAAGGTCCTTTTGCGAGGTCAACAAAGATCCATATGAGGGCCGGTCTCGGGCCAAGACTTGGGTCTAGCGAGACGCATCCGCATGGATGGCTACGCCTTGCGAACTACGAGAAGCGGAGCCCAGCCTTTGTTGACTGGGTCGGACTGGCACTGTACGGGCGAGACAATGATTGGACATCCATACCGTTGGCTCACCATATCCGGTGGAGCTGGAACCATACTACAGTGTTGGAAGCACCGTCACTCTGCAGCTTATGTGCGTGGGTCTATTGATCAAAAAGATCCTTGTCTGTCAATTGAAGGGCGCACGACTTGACAATCTGGCTAGACTCGCTCAGCTGGTTGGTGTGGCTGGCCGACATTCTGCACTCCAACTCCACCAGACTTTAGGCTTGGTTCACATTCTGGGGGATGGAGACTGCTGACTCTTTCGATGTGCCTCTATGGAGTAGACAGACCTTTACTTGTGTCTAGGTGCTACATACCTTTGTTGGATTTTCATCTTGAACAAAACTCAGGGACTATCCGCAACTTGGGAGCCTCACTCTTTTCTCTTCATTTTCAGGCTCAACTGCCCTCCAAACGATTCAAGTGGGACCAGGCTGACTGACATCTAAATCTATTTCGTTCATGGTTGTCACCCTTACGCGCGCCTTTCGATTGACTTGAGCCGATATCTTTGCTTCGCATTAGCACTTATCCTTGTGCATCATGTCGAATATGGATGAGATGGAGCAATTTGTCAACTGGGACAAGGCCATTGATGCCTTTCCACAACCCCAGGATGGCAGCGCCTTTGCTGGTCTGACAGCTGACAACAACGAGAGCATTGATCTTGTCCTGGAGAATGTCAGTGAAGACGACTTCAGCTTCTGCGCCCTTCAACACTTTTCAGACAACAACTTCCCTCTACCAGACATGCCCGCCCCTGCGATGGACTTCACCACAACCGCTGAAGACATATCTAGTCAATTTCAGTGGGACACACCTTCATCACCCTGCATCAACTGTGCTATGTCTGGTTTCTCATGCAAGAAGATCCGGGAGGGTATGTACAAGGACTATTGCACTACTTGCGTAGCATTGAAGGCCAACTGCAGCTTCGCTGTTGCCCCCGAGTCTGCCAACACCTCAGCTGCGCCCTTTGACATCAACCCTTTTCTGCCATCTGGACCTCAGATCTCCAACGCTCTCCAGGAGGATAATCAGGACGACTCTTGTCAATCCTCTCGCAATGCTTCCCGCAATGCCTCCGTCAGTGATCTAGGCAACCTGGGAGAAACGTTCACCAACAAGGCCGCACCTCCTCCCAAAATTGGAGCACGATTCTCTCGAGAGTCTGTTCGCATTCTCAAAAATTGGCTCTCAACTCATAACCGTCATCCTTATCCTAGTGATGAAGAGAAGGAGATGCTGCAGCGCCAAACAGGGTTAAACAAGGTCCAAATCACAAACTGGCTCGCAAATGCTCGTCGACGTGGCAAGGTTCAGCCTCCGCGCTCAACATCACCTCACTACACCAGCTCATGGTCAGGCCCCATGGATATCCCTCAACGCCGAGGAACACCAGCCCTGGAAGCCATGAACCCATTGCAACGTTGGGAGCACTCACCCCCTGAGAACGAACCCGCGTCCGTCAGCGCTATTGCACGAGCCGTTACCGCCTCTTCCTCCGGAATGTCTTCCGGACTCGACAGCCCTTTCAGCTTGAGCTATGCGGACGATGGCTCAAGCAGATCTATCTGCAACCAGTCATCGGTCAGCAGTTTAGGCACCTCCCACTCCAGTAATGGTTCTCATGGATCGGCCTATTCACACGGATCTCGCAACTCATGGGGTTCGTTTGGTTCAGCCCCATTCAATAGCCACGGACGCCGTCGCCGTCGCCGAAGGGCTTCGGCAAAAATTGGCAAGGAGAAGACCAGCCTATCAGCCCCTCTCAAGACCTTCCAGTGTACATTCTGTACCGAAACATTCAGGACTAAGCACGACTGGCAGCGACACGAAAAGTCGTTGCACTTGTCTCTTGAGCGGTGGGTGTGTTCCCCTCACGGCGCAAAAGCCGTCAACCCTGATACCGGCATGTTATCCTGTGTCTTTTGTGGCGAGGCCAACCCGGACGATGCCCATATCGAAAGCCACAACCACTCTGCCTGCCAAGAGCGTACCCCAGCAGAACGGACATTCTACCGAAAAGATCACCTTAACCAGCACCTGCGCCTGGTGCATAATATCAAGTTTCAGGATTGGTCTATGAAGTCGTGGAAGGTAGCAACGCCTGAGATTCGGTCCCGATGTGGTTTCTGTGGCATCGTAATGGACACATGGACTATCCGTGTCGATCATTTGGCAGAGCATTTCAAGACGGGTTATTCCATGGCTGACTGGAAGGGTGATTGGGGTTTCGACAACCCTGTACTCGAGATGGTCGAGAACTCCATGCCTCCATGTATGAGACCTCTCCAGTATCCTGTAGACAAGTTGCCAACGTCTAACTTTTGAAATAGATCTTATTCATTATGAGCGCACATCCCCGTTGCCATACGTAGCCACTCACTCCCCGCCAGAGTCACCTCGTAATGCCTACGAGTTGATTAAGTTGGAAATGGCTTTCTTCACACGGAACTATCAGGACCAGCACGGACGGCTCCCGAGCGACGAAGAAATGATGGTCGAAGGTTGCCGTATTATTTTCGCTAGCGAATTGCTATCTCTACAGGGCATTGCGACGAGGCCATCGTGGCTCCGTGACATTATCATGAGCTCTGACACTCTACAACAAAAGGCTAGATTCGGTCCTTTGCGTGGTGCCGCTGAAAACAGGCTGGCATCCCTCAAGATTAACGGCAAGGACAACTTGTTCGAGGAGTGTCCCATGGAGGTACAACTCCACGAATTTGTCAAGGCCAAGAGACTACTAGGTTTAACGGCGATGGATGATGAGCTTCAAGAGGAGGCTTGTCGTATCGTGGGTCGCGTGGAAGAAGTCTCTACACACCCGTCAGAGGCCATTGCAAACTGGCTAATTCGCCTCGCAACATCTTCTACGAACTGGCTCGCGCCTTTCCGTCGACGCGCACACCTTCCACGAAGCGAAGACGTGGTGGACCACATTTGCCGTTCAACGGATCCTACGTCCATCGACTCAACCATCCACAGCTACTCGCGCCTCGAGCGTGAACTGAAGGATTATCTCATCTTACAAAGATCCATGGGCATCGAGCCTACTGACGAGGACCTCCAACGACAAGCTCGTATCATTATATACGAATTCGATGACGGTTGGAACCAAACCGCGGCAGATAATGCATCTTGGCTCGAGGGATTCAAGAACCGCCATCCCGCCAGCAGTAACAACTCGCCTGCATTTTCTCTTCAGCCTAGCGTCAACTCGACTGTCAGCGGAACCGCCACCACTGATGCGACCCTTTTTTCCAATGACTGTCCTGTGCTTCTGGGATTGGGTTATGATGACATGTTCGATATGGGCAGCGGCCCTGGCTGTCCTGGACCATACTTCCTCAATGATGCGAACTGCTATCGACGATTGGCGAAGGAGCTGAAGCGATGGGTTGCTGGCACTATGTCGGCGAACAACCCTAACAGGCATGTGCCTAGTGATGCAGAGCTTCAGCACCAGGCGCGCTGGATCCTGTATGACGAGTAAGTTTTCTGGGCAGGAAGATTGCTGAGTTTGACGAGCTGACAATACTCTAGTGATGATCCTTGGAACCAGACTGCTGCAGATAATGCCGAATGGCTTCAAAGATTCAAGCGAGACGCGGGTATTCTCAAGACCGATGGTCCTGGTCTCCCAATGAGCGACGGCTGGGCCCTAGAATCTGGTGGCTCAGGGTTCGCACCCCCCTATGCCTGCCCCAAGGCATCGCTCGAGCCCTTCCCTGCAGATGCGCATGTGTCAATGGGCCAGGGTGCCAAGTCACTGCCGGCAGCTATTGCTAACAGCTACATCGAGAAGCTCACATCGCAGGCGGCACGACCTGCTGAGGTCTTCTGTTCACGAGAGCTGGAGCGTGGTCTTATCAGCTACGTCGAGGATCATGTCGCATGCAAGGGGTCCATGCCCACAGACGCCATGCTTCAGACACGAGCGCGTCGGATTCTTGACTCGCAGACCACACCAGCTGATGATGTTGATCTGTTGAACAAGTTTAAGGATATGGTGGCTAAGAAAGTTCCTCAAGCAGTGGCCGCCCAGGACAACATTGCCAGCGCTCCTGCTATGCCCAGTAATATGGAGCTTAACCTCTCAGATGAGGATGTCAACAATATCCTGCAGGACATGAATTTCGAATTTGATGCTCAAGACTTTGGCGTTGCAATGGAAGGATTACAAGATACAGGAGGTGTTAGCCTGAATATGGCTGGATTCACAGATTAGGGACCGCTTTATACCATTCACGAAGTGCATTGACGATGACGATTAGACGCATATAACAAAATGGTGTCAGGTTTTTGAGAGTTTTTAGATACAATATGAGCACGCGGTGGATGTATCAATGGATATCAGTTTGTTTACATAGAATTTGCGAATGGCACAATAATATCACTACATTCATTATCCTTTACTTTTAGCACCTTGCCCACTAACTTGGGCAGACCAGGTTTCAGGCTGAGTCAACATAAGTGATTGATAACAATGGCAGCGATCGCTCGGGCATAAGCGAGACAATGTCTCAGCCCAGACTTTGGCCTAACTTGGAACAAAAGAGCAACTGCAGCAGATGGAAATAGTGGCTTACATGCAGTTCAATTGCATGCGGATGGTGAGAGAGCGCCAACCGTTAAAGATGGGTCGATGACTTCCGAAGACGGCACTGGGCTTGATGTCTGACGTTAGACAGGACCTGCCCGTACCTTGGACCTACCTTTATCAAGTAAGGTAATTGAAAGAACCTAGCGCTATTCCGAGTAAAGTACGATGCGGTAAGATCCAGTAGGCAACGATGCCCAGGGCAGATAAAGTAACAAGGCACCGCAGGAACGGAAGCGACGCATGTCAATTCCATTCAGCTCGTTCATTCCATGGATGTTTCTCAACTTCAAACAACCACTTCCACGCGTCAACTTGTATCACTAAAGACGGAGATGCTGGAGGCTTCATAGACTGTTTTATGAAGCTTGCTCAGAAGACACTTCGTCTTCTTGTCTCTCTGTCAAGACAAAGTGGCGCTTGAGTGAGGCAGTCAATCAATTGACGGATCGCTTACAGCACGCAGCAGCTTCACTCTCAAATTGTTGCTGGGCGACCCCCCGTACCCAATGCCGACTTATCTATGCCACGGGTTTCGATGGCATCGCCGCGACATCCGGATTTTTGTCATCCTCAACGACCTTGAAGACGCTGCACCTAACTGGGTTCTTGCACCTGCGTCGTCTTATTGTATCCTCGACCAGCTACACGCCAAATACGACTTCTTACCTGAGCTCTCTCCACCAACAACGCCCACGCAAAAGAGCGTCAGTGCCAAAAATGCCACCATCAAAAAGCAATTCGATCATGTTGACGACGACCATGCTCTCCCAACATCACGCGTATCCGATGCCGAAGATGCCGTTCTTATGCACTCATGGTCGCCGGTCAGATTGCTGGAGGAATTCGATGTAGACGAAACGGTGACGGCATGCAGACCATATGCTTATGTGGCTGATTATGTGGTACGAGTCGACCTGAGTGTGGACGTGGCAGGTCAGATGGCCAAGTACTATGACAAAATGGCCGGGGAAGATGGGTGGATCATAAAATTAAGGAATGAATTGCAGAAGGGCGAATCCGTGCGGTGGTACGTCGTGGTCTGCGGTGACGATGTGAGAGAAGTCCCTGGCAAGAGTGATGAAGAAGAAAAAGAGGTTGGCTATGAGCAGATACGGGACGCGGCACAAACGATGGTGCGCAACCGACGGACAAAAGACGCTTTGGAGGGGCTTTCTGATTCACCATCCGAGTACGACGATGACAACGACCGAGAGGAAGATGGAGAAGATGCTCTCACCGTCCTAGATGGCATTTTAGGCGGACCAGATGGTGCTGCAACGCCCCGGCCGCTTTCGAGGACATTGCCAGATATCGATATCCCACTCCAGCCTCAACTCGACCCCGATCGGGCTTCAGTTTTGACAATATCAACAGTTTGGTCCCAGGATGAGTCACCGAACGGAACAGCAAGGCAGGAAACACCGGATATTGATGTACCTCTCCAACCTCATGAACTCGATAAGAAGAGGAAATCCGTGTCCACAGCATCATCGGTATGGTCTCGAAAAGATTCTCTGGCGAATGCACTAGCACTGGAAACGCCAGATGTTAAGATACCGCTTCTCCACCCCGGTAACACACGATATTCGGCTTCGACAGCATCAGAGATATATTCTGCATACGGGCAATCTAGAATTGAACCAGAAGAGTTTGAGGAGATACATTCATCAGTGCAGGATCCCATGAGAGGAGAGATACCGAATGTAAAGCAACCTCTCAAACCAGACGAGCTTCGCCCATCTAGATCTTCGACGCCTCCAACGCCCAAACCTTTGCAACGGCAGCTGCCAGCTCCAACCATCTACAGGCCCGAAAGCTTTGTACCTCCTTTCTCGCCTGTGTTACCACCTATGGAGGGCTTTGATCAAGAGTCTCCGAGGCTAAATACTCCTAGTAGGGCGGAGAATGTCAAGCCCCCAGAGACATCCTGGCCATTATCATCAGACTCACCACTTGAATCCTCAGGATCGAGTACATTTCATAATCAAGACACTCCGTATCCATATGTCACATCAATCATGAATCCAAAGGACAGTCTAGATACCTATCTGAACGTACCCAAAGAGCTTGGTCCTCCTCGAACACCCTCGCCTACATCGGAGTATTCACCACAACCGCAGAATTCTGGATCAAACATGCCCAAGTTTGAGGGGATAGTGCTACACGCTCCACCATTATTGGTGTCACCGGACCCAGCACGCCTAGAACAACCAAGTTCTGGTGTATTGTATGAGGCTGGTGACACAGTTTCCAAACAGCAGCTATCCTCAATACGCATGCCAAAAGCCAAACAGGTGGCACGGCTGAACATAGACACAAAAGCAGCGAAAGAGCCGGTTTCGAAGCCACCAGCAAGTGTCACAACCCCAACACCGGCTCCTCGACAAACGATCAATCCTGCCTTGAAAACACCTCCCAGAAATCTAGCAACCCAGCAAATTGCACAGAAGTCGCCGAAGTCTCGTTTACCGAGAAGTGTCCCTAAGAACATCCGAATATCAAATGTGCCATTACCGCCAGAACCAGAGATAAAGACGCCTCGTCGCCCGCCTACGCCACCAAAGCCTCGAGGTGTATCGGGAGGAAACTCACAGAAAAGACCACAAACAGCGCCAGAAAAGGGAACGCCATCATCGAAAGCTCATGCCAGAATGTTATCAATGCCGTATCGTTATGAGACACCCAGTTCTCTACAAGAACTGGAGAGGGAGGAGCTGGCATTAGAACCTACACCATCTCTTGCTTCTGACTACACTGTAGGTGTCAGTTCAAAACCGAGCGCGCCACGAGATTTAGCACGTGGAGTGAGGTTGCGTGCACCACAGCCAGTAGCTGTGACGACCCAAACTCGACAAACTAGTGTATCTACGGATCATAGCGATGGCCAGGTAAATGAAGACGGAAGGGTCCCTAAACAACGAATTGGTCGCAGCCATTCAGTGGCCGAAGGGCTTAAGAAGCTGTTCAGGAAGCCATCTCATGCTAAGGCGGGCCATCATCATTGAAGGAAACGGAGAGTAAGCATGGATTGGCAGTCTTGAACTTTCCTTTCGGGCTTGATCTTGACTGCAATTTAGAGCGTTTCATTTCGAAAGATTGGATCTACCACTGATGGATAGGAGTTGCGGTTGACTTATTGGAAAAGCGTCGAACTTTGTAAGTCGTAATATTCTATGATGGATCGTCATGATGTAAGAGTAGCGGCACGAGATTCTTCGAAATTGTATAGTATTTGAACCCGGAGATTTACTTACGCAGTATATGATCTGCAATTAGCAACCAGATTATTAGATTGAACATCTACGTAGTTACAGTGGAATCTTCAAGATGTGAAATGAAATGAGGGTATGTAAAGCTCCTTTTACCAGGTCCCCTGCCCTCGGGGAGAAAAATTAAACTACACCAAAATTCGCCGGTGTTCCATCTACTGAGGGGTCGTTTTTATTTCCCCCCTAAGGTTAGTAGCCAGGTAGGTAGATGTGGATGGTCATGCAAGGAGTTAATGCACGTCACGTGTAAGTCAAGCAAGACAGCTCGACTTAATAACCAGCATACCTACCTACCTAGGTAGGGACCTTAATTACCTTAAGTACTTACCTCGTCAACAGCTCCAATCCTCTCTTAGCCTGTTCGATCTGTTTAACAACCCGCTCACATCAAATAAGGATGCAACTCATGGTATCAATTGACTGGAGTCCCTGATGGTCTCCAAATAAACTCTTCCAACGCGAGACCATTGTGCCTACCGAACTTAGACGATATCAAAATCTCGAGGCCCGAGTCCGAGTCCCAGTTCGAGTCCAATCTAGCCTCCAGCCATTGTCTCCTTACCCATCGTCCTCGGTTCTTTGGAACCTCCTCATATAAAATGGCCCTATCGCGGCCCGAACCTGGCCCCAGTACGTCGGTCGAAGCGTTTGCGCAAACCGGCGCCGAGCCCTCGCTCGATGATAGCGACGACGAAGATCTTCGGTCGGCCGTTGGCAGTGGAAGCGATGTTTACGAGCTGCATGAGAGGAATACGGGTAGAGATAGACACGGCAGCGCGATATGGGATGCCGAAGCTGCAGAGGATGGAGATGTAGGCCATCCTCTCGTAGGAGAGCGCTCGCGAAGTCCTGGTTCTATGGCGAGTTTCCAGCTCTATACCCCTGATGAAGAACAAGCCGTGCGGAGGAAGTTCGATCGCAAGCTTGTCTTATTCGTCGCTCTCCTTTACATGTTGAGCTTTGTCGACAGATCCAGTACGACCCTTTTATTTTATCTTTGACAGCAATGTATGTACTAACAAATCCAGATATCGGCAATGCTCGTATAGCTGGTATGGATGAAGATCTCCAGTCTGACCCACCCCGCGACGAGTGGTACCAATGGGCCCTCACGGCGTTTTACCTTACTTACATTGCCTTTGAATGGATGTCGCTTCTGTGGAAGCTCATTCCGGCGCACATATTCGTGTCGATGGTGGTTCTGACGTGGGGTCTTATGGCGTCCCTCCAGGCTGTCGCAACGTCTTATCCCATGTTGATAGCGCTGCGCGCTGTCCTTGGAGTAGGAGAGGCTGGCTTCACGGGAATTCCATTCTACCTGAGTTTCTTCTTCAAACGAGAAGAGCTTGCATTCCGGACTGCTATTTTCATATCTGGTATGTAATCCCTTCTTGTGACGGCAAAGAAGAAAAGCTTACAGCTGTCGCAGCGGCACCCTTGGCTACGACGTTTGCCTCAACGCTCGCCTGGATTATCGTCAAGTTTGCTGAGTTTGGTCCTATTGCCCCATGGCGTCTTCTATTCATCATTGAGGGCTTCCCATCAGTCATCGCGTCTGTAGTAGCCTGGAATGTCATTCCCGACTCTCCACAGACAGCCCCTTACTTGACCAAGCGTGAGAAAAAGGTTGCCCATCTGCGCCTTCGCAGCGAGCAGTCAACGGCCACAAACAACAAGCCTTCGTCTGGTCTCAAAGGTCGCGATGTTCTGGCAATATTCCGTGACCCCGTTGCGTGGATCACTGCAATCATGTTCTTCCTCACCAACATGGCTTACTCCTCTCTCCCCGTCTTCCTCCCCAAGATACTCACCGAGATGGGTCACGATACTCTCACATCTCAAGCTCTCAGTGCTCCCCCATACTTGGCGGCTTTTGTCATCGTCCTCTTCACAGCGCACATGTCCGATCGCCTGCGAACACGCACTGTACCTCTAATATTCCATGCCCTCGCTTCATCAAGTGGCTACGCCATTCTGGCTTTGGCCAAACCCCTTAATCTTCCTAATCTCATCCGTTACATGGCCGTATATCCTGCCGCTATAGGCTTTTTCAATGTCGTCACTCTCATCATTACATGGAGCATCAACAACCAAGCCAACCAGAGCCGTCAAGGCGGTGGCTTCGCTCTCCTCCAACTCGTTGGTCAGTGCGGGCCGCTCGTGGGTACCAGGTTGTATCCGGATCGAGATGCTCCCTATTATGCACCTGGGATGAGCACATGTGCAATTGCTATGCTTCTTGTCTCCATCCTAGCGTATGCTCTTCGCTTTTATCTCAAGTATCAAAATCGTAAATTTGACCGGGCTGAGAGTGAGCGTCGGCAGGGGGGTGACGAGGTTGAGGAAGAAGGTCTCGTTGGCCCTGGGAGACGCAGATCAGCGGCTGTTGTCTTTCGATACATGCTATAAGCCAATTTCCAATAACCATTGTTTCAAACTCGCGGTTCATAAGAATGTATTATTCATGGATTGATTGCTACCGAAGTAAACTTAATAGTTAGACCATGTACACTGTCTTCTTGCTGCTAGCTAATACCTCGTATGCTAGACTAATGCCGTTTGTGACTTGAATTACTCAACGATTTGCCATGCAAGTTATTTATAATCTATTTCCCAAAGCGCATCCACTTAGGGGCATGATACTTTTCTACGCCGGCTTTCCACCAAGACTCTGTCCCACGCCCGCCTTGCTCGATCGAGAAAGACGCAGATTGTTTCTCATGTTTGGGCTTGCCGGCATCCTCAGATCTGAGTTTGCGGCGCAGTGTCTTCCAGGCGGAGTGGTGTTTTCTCTGCTCTTTAAGTTGACGCCCAGCACTCTGATAGGCATGGCGAAGTTTATTGCAGCTGATATGACAAATATTGTGTGCCAGCTTCTCAACTCCAGCTCGAGACCGTTTCACTCCCTCTGTCAAGCTTCGAAGAGACATGACAGAAGATTTTCTCTTGCTTCTTCTTTCCACCTGTGGCGGCTTGATTGACGGGCTAGGACTTTCTGAATGCCGGTTTTCTGTTGGGCTATCAATCTGTGTTTGGATTCGAGCCTTCACCCGTGTCAGGGGGTAGGTCTTTTCAACCCCGGTAGTGTCTTCCGGTGAAGGCTTTCTCGCCATGGTCTTCTGAGCAGGTGTCACATTTGACTGTAGGTCCTCGGAACTTGATACAATCTCAAAGGAGTGGTAGGACTGGATGGGTCGTCGTTGCAGGTGCCCGAAAGCAGGTGCCTCGTCAACTCCGGTCCCGTGGGTGCTTCCTTGACTCCTAACTCTCGCAGCAACAGAAGAGCTTGATGAAGATCTCAGACCGGATAGTCGGTCGTTGGAACGACTGTATTTCGTCAAATCGCCCAAGTCCAAACTTGGCATGCGAGTGTCTGATGCAGGTGATGGCACATCATCAGATCCAATACCTTGGTCATGATATGATGAAGATGGGCTCCTTGGAGCTCTATACACGGACTCTGGAGAGGGCGCTTGTGATCTTATAGACCTCAGGTTATCTCTCACCATTTGTAGGATGGAGAGCTGATCTGAAATAATATCAGTCGTTGATGGTTTGCGGATTTGTTCGTCGAATGAATTGCTCAGCCGTGCTTCTTCACGAAAGTGGTCGCGGTGGGTAACTGGTAATAAAGCTCCATTCTGAAGAAATGCATCTTGTCTGGAGGTCGTTCGACTCGTTGGGTGTGTATGCGCCTCAGTCTCGGGGAAAGATTGCTCATTTGACTGGGAGTCTTTCTAAGATGCTGCTGGCCTGATGTTTTCCAGATCCTCCAGTTTCTTCCGGGTAATGGGTGCTCTTTTCCCGATATTGATTTCGTTCAACTGCGTACCTGAGATGGTATTATTGTCATAGGAGTCTGGTGCGTCACCTAACTTGAGGCCTAGAGGGCGGGACCGGACTGGAAGTGTAAAAGTGTGATTCATGGTGAGGATGTATGTATCACTAATAGAACCAGCTGATGTGTGATAAATCCCAAACGGTGAGGAGTTGTTGAAGATGGGAAAAGAAAAGAAGGCGTGAGAGTAGAGAGATTGTATATAACCCGAACTCAATCTGATCGAGCAAGTGAAGTAATGGCTAGACCATTATCATACAGTTGTTCCTACCTCTGTAGCATATAGAAAGGGCAAGGCAAGCACATGAGTAAATGGAGCAAATAGAGAACCTGTAACTGAAGGCGATATAGAGAAATGACGAAAAAAAAAGGATATCACAGTGTCGAAGTAACTACCAACCTAGATAGATCTTGGAGACAATGAAAAACGAATCAGAGGGCACTGGGATTGCTCCCGCCAGGGCTTGAACCTGAGACCTTCGCATTACCGGATACTCGGAATGAAGTATTAGTACGACGCTCTAACCAACTGAGCTACGGAAGCCTTCTGATTCGATAGAATGTGCTGGACTATTTTGCAATAGATTAGGTTTGAAATATTCTCAGTCTACACAGCAACAACAACATGCATCACAAGCATTCAGTGGAGGCAACCACAATAGATCAGCTTCCATGAGGACAAGAACTACCAGTTCGTGAGCTGAGAAATTCTCTGACTAGGTAGAGCTCATTAATTGGATCACACTTGCTCAAGGTTGATATGCCCGGGGCGATATCCATTCCTGCTCAAACTTCCATTTCATCCACAGCATCAATCACCCATATTCCGCCTGCCTTATCCAGATTTCTCAACACAGTTGGTACATTCAGCGCATGCGAAGTGTGTTGTTGCAGCTCCGAGCTTGATAGACCCTCCTGGGGCATTCTGATGGAATAGGTCAGGCCAGCCATGCTGGGTCTCGGGCCAGGCAAATATCTTGATCGGGGCACATCGATCATTGTTGAATCTTGCTTCGTTAGTCGTCGTATACGGACATATGAGTTTGTATAACATACCCAGCTAGACGGCAGATCATACCAGGATCAACGAAAACAGATCCGATGTGTCCTTTAAGCTCAGGGCCTAGCTCATTGCATGTATATTCAAGATCAGGATGGTAGGCGAAACATGGAGCTCCCCAGTTCTCCTCACGGCAGAAATAAACCTGAGACATGTTTAGTAAATGCAATCTGCTAGAAACAACTCCATCCTACCATGCCAGACTCTCGGCCCCCCTCACTGTTCTCGTCAGGAGTAGTACCAATGCGAGCCTTCACAACTTCAGGCTCGATGGCTTCGTACTTGAGTGCAGCTCGCTCCTTGATAGGTGAAGACCATATGTCAACTGAGGCAGCTATACAGTGCGTATAGAAGAACGGCAAGACGGAAAGTGCAAAAGATGTCTTCATTCTGACAATTGGGTGAGAATGAGTGTTGATAGGAACGAAGACGAAAGAGGGCAATCAGAAGTTATAGTTCTGGATAATCCGAATTATTTGAACGAGAACTAACAGCAGACATCTGGGATACAGCCTTTTATGTATCGGAGTTTGTTGCGGCAAGCCATTGATGATTTTTCGGTGTGATTCTTTACGACAAAGCGACGTATGACACGCAAATCTCGTGATGACACTGGTTTATGCGATACAGCTGCAGCTTCAACCTGAGCCTACTCATTGTTGTACCAAGCTCTCACCCGTTGCCGGCCGTATTGATTGCTTGTGTCGTGTTGACCAAGATACTCGGTCAACTCGTCAGCTCATGATGAACCTCTCAGCCAAAGACCTTTGGGAGTAATCGGCCGTCCTGTGATACAAATTCGGCCCATCGAGCGTCCAAAAACTGCTAGTGACTTGCAGGTGGCTTGCATCACTGGTCAACAAAGAAACGGGCCCAGAAAGAGCCACGGCTGATCTCCTAGACAATTGTATCGACGGTATTACCAGCCTCAGGAATCTTGTGCAACTCTCGTGTCTGCTGCTCAACCGTTTGCTTGGAATTGTCAAAATAGCGGTCTCGCCTCAGTCGGACTCCCACGTTGCGCATTGCATCACAGGACATGAATAATTCGCACCAGGTACCGATTTTGGTTTTCCAAAGACATATCCCACGTTGTCTCATTTGCCCTCAAGCAAGCGTTTGCCGTATGCCAGTAACATCCACCGCGTGAAAACCGCTAGATCGCCCAAACCTGCATCACTGATCGGCCATCCCTGACGTCGATGGCAGGGGAAACGAGCCGGCGCAGCTTGGTATCAAGCTTCGATTTCAATGGATCGATATGAAACTCATTCTTTAGTATGCATGTTTTAAAATAGAAGTATACTTATATTTACGCATATTCAATCATCCGACGTGATCGGGCAGATGCCCGGAGCCGGCAACGGAGGCGGACGGAACAGACTCCACAATGATTGCCTAAACAGGAAATATCTATCACAACGGACTCCGGCACCTCATCCCGTATACACGAGTGTTCCTATGCTTGGTAGCATTACGGACAATAGCGTGATACTGTCTCTCTCTCACGACGGAGGATTTGGCTTGAAATTGTCCGTTGCGCTACCTTCTTCACCCAGCACATCCTTGGCTCCGGAGGAAAATGCAAGAGAAGGCGGTTTCGGTCAGCCAAGTAGGGTCAATACCGATCTTGGTACGAAAACAGACTCTGTAGGGTACACAGCGTGAATCGATGCAGCGATCCGTCGCAACTCCCGGCCGGTAGCCACTCCACCTGGTAGCTATCTCTGGCGTTGCCAGTTACACGGCATCAGCTTCGACAAGTCCACGCACATCAAGGCCACTGCCGTGGTCCCCAAGTCGGATTTTAATGAGTAATATGGCACCTTACATCGTCATGTGCCTCAGTTGATCCTCAAGGTTCTTGGTTGTCTTAAGAAGGCAGACAAATACGAGATAGTGCAACTGTAAAGAACGCTTACACGCAATTCAACGAGACGATCAATGTTTCTGTAGCAACGCTGCATGGAAAAATTGTAAGGAGCCATATAGAACTATTGTACCTTTGGTAACCCGAGTTTGGAGGCGGTGAGGTTAAGGCGTCTATCAACTAATATCTTCCGTGCCACAAAAGAACGAAGAATAATGACAACAATAAAGGATATTCTTGGTATAACATTTCTATGTTAGTATTTCAGAAACAAAATTATGGTATTTTAATATGCCATAATTGCTTGCGTGTTTTCGTGATCAAGATGTAGATATTGCCTGAGTATTTCGATAGAATTAACCCGATTCATGAGCTGGGCGGGCGTAGGGTATTTCTCTCTGTTTGATAGCATGACATGACTGAGAGCATTCCAGGTCTTTCAAACAGCAGTTTCTCATTTCCATATCGTGACTACTCTGATAGAATTTCTATTTGTGAGATTTATTGATTAGATAAAACAGCTGCAATTAATTCAATTGACATTTCCATCATGCGCTGTCGCGTTATGTTTCTAGGTTATGCTACAGTGGGTTTCAAGCAAATCGAAATGTACAAAAAGGGCGATTTCCCCATTGATGTTCTGTCTGACTTGAAATGATAACAAGTGAGCCGAAAGCTCGAGAAACGCTGGGCGCTTCCCCTGCCACGTGTAAAACTATGCCTTTCCACTCACGAGATATCTCGAATCGACGATTCACTCATCTGATGGACAGAAAATGACTTTTGCAGGTAGAGTATCCGCAACAAATTCTTTAAGCATCTGAGCTGATGGAAAGAAAAGAAAACTGTCCGAAATTATGACGAGCAAAGAGTTGGTATAGAGTCAGGGAAATATCATCAACTGAGCACGAAGTCGGACTAATATTAGGGATTATTACACAGTGTTCAAGGCACAGTAGTCACCGGATGTTGAGCTTGGCTGTGATGGTATATACTGAGCGGTTGCGGGGCTTTAGCCGGGGCTAGAGGTTTCTGCTATCTGTTATGCTAAGACAGTGCACAGGCTAGCTTATTCCTACGCGTTATGCTTGGTGGAGATCACGAACGCCATCGTTTATGACTTGAAAAGCGACAGGTTTCTACCACTTCTTGACCAGAAAACCTTTCAATTATTCTCGTGGCTGACTAGATTTATCACTGAAATCTTCTTCTGCTCGCATACATAAGTTCCTAGAATATAAAACTGTATGGAAGAACCAACTGCAATGTTGACGAATCGCCCTCGAACACGACAACGGACGTATAAGAAGCCACCTGCTCTCGATGTTCCCAACATTGATGAAGATGCCGCGGAGAGGAAACGAGTTTTGAACGTTCTAGCACAGAGAAGATATCGTGGGTCGTCACTTTCCTGCAACCAAGCAAGCTTGAGACCTGACAGGCATATAGGTGAAAAGAAACGGCTAGATCGTCTTAAGACCAAGGCAGCTGGTAGCAATGAGTCTCAAAACTCCGAACCTCAGGACGAAACAGCTCCAAACTCCGAAGGCCGAGTATCGAAAGACGATATTTATGCAATTCCGACTCTGAAGAGCAATTTGGAATCCAATCTGTCAATCCCTCCTACGACAGATGCTGACATCTTGGCTGGATTTGATCTCAATCTGACATCTTGGAACCCCCTCGGAGACCCCCTCCAAGATTTGACATTTGCGCCTATTCTTCCAGACCCAAATATAGTACCCGACTACTTACCTGAAGACCATACCGGGGGCGATTCGGTAATAAATACTCATCATGACTTGTCTACAGATTTTGCCGGTGCCGATATGACAATGTTTATTGATTCATCACCACTCAGCTCTTCACCCTCGCCATCAGAAGGGCAGACGTTTCCTGATAGCTATCAACTACCTTTACTACAGCATACACTTCTTAAGGCTGTTATGCGAATAGCAGACCGTCTGAACCTGAAGCCAGACCTCTGGGACTTGGGGGGTAACTCGGCATTCAACACAGGGACCGCAACTCCAGCATCTCTACTGCCTCCGTCATGGAAGCCTACTCCATCACAAGTTGCGATACCACATCATCCGGTGTTTGACCTGCTGCCTTGGCCAGGTGTCAGAGAGCGCGCCATCTTCATCTTGTCGTTGCCTGACGAGTTACGACCACCGCGAGCCCAGGGTGCGCTGGCGATCGTCAACTTTGCCTATGATGTTGAGGATACAGCCGAGGGAGTTAGAATTTATGGTGACGATCCATATGATCCAGGTAACTGGGAGCTGGGGCAGGTTATGTTTGAAAGGTGGTGGTTTTTGTTTGACAACAACATCATCAGCACAAGTAACCGTTGGCGAAGGGCAAGGGGAGCGCCGCCACTGCTATTAAAAAGTCGAAGTCCTGGTTCGAGCCCGACTGCAAGTACATCATCTGCCACAACTGGAGGATCATGATGTGCCACTGAGGTTGCTAGTGAGTACCTTGGTAGGTAGGCAGGATATACAGCCATGTTGTGGAAATCTTAAGAGACCTGTAAAACTATAAAATAGATGACGTGAAGATTAATTGAGCAAGAATGAAAGACGAGCATACAAACCCAAGGTTAAAGGCTCATATACTCTTCTCGATAACCCGCGCACGTTGACTATAATATGAGCCCATTGATCAGCCCAAAGAATAATTGACATATAGGTGGAGGTTTGATCTTTAAATCAGTCGTTATCAAAGTAGAGTTTTGGACCTCTAAGTTCGCTCACCGGTCTGACAGTGACACCACTCGGTAGGTAGTAGCTCAGCATCATGACGGATGGAGGGGTCATAAAGACCCTCGGGGTGATGATTCGTCCATTTGCCGGACCCTTGCTTGCTCCGCAGCAGGGGACCCCTCGACGTTGACGTTGGGGGAGAGAGGAGACATACCTCAGAGGTCATTGGCAGGGCCTCTCGGAAGATGGCTGCAAACCGCACGCTGCAAGTCGAAGCAGAGTGGGATGTCGTGAACTGCTTCAGCCAAACAGATTCCATCAAGTCCACAGTTTCCTGGCTTATTGCAGATGTTACCGCACGCTCCATTGTCCTGGATTTCTCACCGATCAAAAGAGGCGCAGCCGAATACAATGGAAACCATTTCAACGGCTACTCTATCTGGTATCAAGTGGAGATGAGCGTCGATTTATGACTCTGAGTTCTTGAGCCTAAAAAATTCCATCCATTTGTCTTCAGTTAGGTACTACCTTACCTAGTTAACCTACCTAAGGTAGGTACCTTACCTGCAACCTCCGTTTGGAAGCTCACTTCGTCAGCCTGGGGCAGCTCTAGCGGCATCCTCACTGGTTCGATGCCCTGAGCTCCCCTGAGCCTCTCGGCTTTCGACGCCCGGGAACGGCGCTGAGATCAAATGAACGCATCGGCATCCGCCAATGAGCAGACACGATTCATGCATCGGAGGTAAAAACGGAACCCCACTGGGGAGTTTCTAGAGGAAGGAGGGGCATCTTAGAGGAGAAATTTCCTGGATAGTCAGAAGGAAGGAACGACGTGGAACGCTTTTCTGACCGTACTCGGTTTCTTTCTTCTTTCTCTATCTCCCTCCCTCTCTTTTCTACTCGTCATTTGTCGCTCAATATATAACCTCCTCTTCGGTCTTCAAGTAGAATTGGCTGTCATTTGTCAAGTTGGATCCTAGTACTACGTAAATCATTAACCCCCCTGCTGCTGCTTCTCGTTCAACGGATTGAGAGCGGGAAATCGCAAGGTCAATACAGATCATCGTTTCCACCGCCTCGTCTGGAGTTGCAGCGCAAAACCCCAGAACCGGGCTTCAAACAGTACAATAAACGTTAGTTTATACAAGCATCGCCGCAATACCTCTCTGGCTACGCTGTAATTGACTTTGCTAACATATAGGATTCCTTGTCAGTCGTCGTTACAGTTCCCCTCCCCCACAATCTCCCCATACTCCAGCTCTCTGATCCAAGCTTCGACCCGCCACGACCATCACGCCCAGCTCTTGCTTCGTAACGAATCAACATCCTTCTCTGGTCAAATACAAATACAAGCTCGTCATAAACCATAGAATCTAAAAAAATCATCGCCAACCGATTTCACCATGCATATCAAGGACATGCTCAACGACGCCGAGAGGAGCGGCCAGCCCTCCTTCTCTTTCGAGTACTTCCCTCCCAAGACCGCACAAGGTGTTCAGAATCTTTACGACCGTATGGATCGCATGTATAACCTAGGTCCTAAGTTCATTGACATCACATGGGGTGCTGGTGGTAGAATTGCCGAGCTCACTTGCGAGATGGTACTCCAGGCTCAAGCTGTCTACGGCCTTGAAACTTGCATGCATCTGACCTGCACTGACATGGGTGTTGAGAAGGTCAATGATGCCCTTCTTAAAGCGTATAAAGCCGGGTGCACCAACATTCTGGCCCTACGTGGTGATCCCCCCCGAGCTCAAGACAAGTGGACCGCTGCCGACGGAGGCTTCCAGTATGCCCGTGATCTCGTTAGACACATCCGCGATACCTACGGCAACCACTTCGACATCGGTGTTGCTGGTTATCCTGAGGGTTCCGACGACAACAAGAATGAGGACGAATTGCTGGACCATCTCAAGGAGAAGGTTGACATGGGCGCCAGCTTCATCGTCACACAGATGTTCTATGATGCTGATAACTTCATTCGCTGGGTGAAGCGTGTTCGTGAGCGTGGCATCACTATCCCTATCCTCCCCGGTATCATGCCCATCGCTACATATGCCAGCTTCCTTCGACGAGCAAACCATATGCAGGCTAAGATCCCTCAGGAATGGCTCGATGCACTTGAGCCTGTCAAGAACGACGATGTTGCTGTCAGGAACATCGGAAAGACCCTGGTTGCCAACATGTGCCGAAAGTTGCTCGCCAACGGGATTCATCACCTTCACTTCTATACCATGAACCTTGCCCAGGCTACACGCATGTTACTTGAGGAGCTCCAATGGGCTCCTTGCGCTGAGCGTCCTCTTCAACAGGCTCTCCCTTGGAAACAGTCCAAAGGACTTGGTCGCCGCGAGGAGGATGTTCGGCCCATCTTTTGGAGAAACCGCAACAAGTCTTATGTGATTCGCACACAGGATTGGGATGAGTTCCCCAACGGTCGATGGGGCGATTCTCGCTCTCCTGCTTTCGGAGAGCTGGATGCTTACGGCATTGGCTTGACTGGTACTAACGAGGCCAATCGCAAGAAATGGGGCGAGCCCAAGACCATTCAGGATATTGCTCAACTTTTCGTCCGATATCTCCAAAATGAGATCGAGTCTCTGCCATGGAGTGAGTCACCTCTTACCACTGAGGCTGATGAGATTCGAGAGGAGCTTATTGAGCTGAACAAGCGAGGATTATTGACTGTGAACTCTCAGCCTGCTGTCAATGGCGTCAAGTCTTCTCACCCGGTCCACGGCTGGGGCCCCGACAACGGCTATGTCTACCAAAAGTCGTACCTTGAGTTGCTGGTGCACCCCGACGTCTTTGACAAGATGATCACTCGCATTGAGAACCACCCTGATCTGACCTACTACGCTGTGACTAAGGACGGCGAGCTCCGATCTAATGTGACATCTGATGGCCCCAATGCAGTGACCTGGGGTGTCTTCCCTGGAAAGGAGATTGTGCAGCCAACCATTGTTGAGAGCATCAGTTTCCTTGCATGGAAGGACGAAGCATTCCGACTGGGTGTCGATTGGGCTCACTGTTATGACATGACCTCGCCTAGCCGAGCTCTGCTTGAGGGTGTCATGAATGACTGGTACCTCGTCAACATTGGTGAGTAAAGAGGTTCCAAACAGACTCTGGAAGCATGCTAAAAATGGTAGTGAACAACGATTTCCACGACAACAAAACCATCTTCGGGCTTTTGAAGGGCCTCGAGGTCAAGGACCTCACCACTCCTGCGACTCCTTTGACGGAGTCGGTAGGTAATGGCGCCGGAGATACCGAACCTATTGTCAATGGTACTGCAGCCACTGCAGTTGCGAACTAGATGTTCTCGCGCAGTGGTACCCGGTGCAATGGTTTACCAAGATGCCCAGCATCTTGACCAAAGTCAATCTCTGGTATGGTCGCAGAGTGATCGCAAGTATGCATCATCGGGGCGTTGCTGTGCACTTCCTCTAACTTTCACGATCACTGCTTTTTTTCTTCCTTTGATTTCCTTTTTGTTTTTGGGGTTTGGGTATAATAGCATCACCAAGGTGTCTTTTTCAACAAAAAGTTACCAGGGATACGGGGGCAGCATTTTAAAAAGGCGCAAGATACGAAAAATCACCCGGCGGGCGCAGACGACTTTATGTTTTGGGGGCTTGCTTTGCTTGTTCTATATCTCAACGATACCCCGCCAGCAAGGCCTTATGTATGGACGATTGCATGAATGAATTTGATCTCTTTCTTTTATGTTTTTTACTTTTCTTTCCCGACGAACGGGAAGAACTTATACAGAGAGTGGATGATGGGGACATGGAAAAGATTAAAGGCAAAGTTTGGCTATCATGATGGACTCAAGCAACAGCTAGACATTTGCTGATGCTCGGAACCAACAATTGATTTGATATCTAGCCCCGATATTGGGCTACGATGATACTTTGCGCTCTCCCGTACCGCCCCCTTAAGTGACTGTGACTTGAGTGAAATGTCCAAAGTCCATCGCTATCCTTTCTTTGACCAAGTCTGGGACTGTTGTATGCGATAAAAAAACATTACCGTCAAGCGGGCTATGCAATTGAATTCCTCCTCTCTCACCATACATCTTCCTCAGCCACTTCATAATCCATATTTACCGCCCTCTCTTCCCGCTGTGGTTCTGCGCTCTTTTCCCGTCTAGGCTGATCATCGAAGTCCATTATAGCATCGTCCTCTACACCATGCCTGGGCGCGTCATCATTGCCAAGGGTCTTGACAGGCGGCAGAGGTGTATTCACCCACGCAAGCTCAAGACGTCCTTCAACGCCAGGCAGTTCCTTGCCATTCAAACTATAGTAGAACTTCTCTGCTGTTTTACGGTCTTGGAAAGAGACGTGTGTGGTTTCAGGAGCTGTATCGACAGACTCAAACTCGCCGAGGTTCTGTTTGGTATGTCAGTGATATGAGACCTAAAAAGAGGGGAGAAGTGAAGCATACTAGGAGGAAATGGCGTAGCATCTCATCTTTATCAGGTGTTGTAAAGTCAACACCTGTGATGGCGAGCTTTTTGGGCCGGTTGTCAATCGAGTATTGCGCATAAGCTGCGTGCATGTTTCCTCCTCCACGACCCCTGAAGCTTCCTCTTCCTCGTCCACGAGCGCGAAAGCTGCCTCGACCTCGGTACCCACCTCGAGGAGCCCATGATGAGTTTGATTCTTCCCCAGCATCGGGATCTAGACCGAGCATCTTTGCCTCTTGTTCCAGGGCCGCAAGCTTCGCGCGTAGCATACTTGTACCTGACGAATTGGCATCGCCGTCCTCGCCTCTCTGACTGGCGAGCTTTGCCTGTAGCTTCTCGTTTTCCTCTCGGTGGCGGGCGAGGAGTTCTTGATGCTTCTTGACTACCTCCTGGCGCTCTTGCTCTATCCTGGCGCGCTGAGCCTCGCGCTCTTGGTGCTTCTTTTGTTCTTCTTCTTGCTTTCGCTGGAACTCTTCCATATCTATTTCTGGCTCATCCTCGTCATCTTCTGCAGCCATTGGGTGGTCGCCCGACCAATTGCCCCCTTGCAAAGGAGCCGATGCTGGTAGTGTGTCGGTCTTGTCCTTGTACCAAAATACCTTGACGAACCTGTTGTCGAATATAACTTTGGGTGACTGATATGCTGCATTTGCCGAACCCCATTTATCGTACTTAACAATCGCGAGGTGCTTGTATGGCTGCATTGATACCTCCTGGATATTGCCAAATTGTGATAAGAACGCCCGCACTTGCTCCTCGCTGAAGGATTCTTCTGGGATATTTTCGACAACGATGGTGCTCTTTGTACGGTCATAGTTAGGCCCTTCAGCGGAGAAAGGAGCTCGCGAACCGCCCTTCTTAGCGCCACGGTTCCGACGACCTCCTCGACCGCCTCGGCCCCCATCGGATGGGAAAGTCCAGGGATTCATGCTATTTGGGGCGTTTGCTAACATGGCAAACGGATCACTTGGATCGTACTCTGTCCAGGCTTGTATTAGACGAGCAAACAAAAACAAAATAAGTGATACCAAACTTACCGGCGTCGGTACCTGGGGGCACGAATATCGACTCGTTGCCATGGTCGTATGGGCATGTGCTCCCACGCGAACAGAAACCCTTGGTGTCAAAATCACGGCATCGACCTCTTCTCCGGGGTTGACCACGACCACCACCAAAGCCTTGTTGCGGGAAGTTTGGCATGCCAGGGTATGGCATCCCCATGGAACCCATCTGTAGAAATGCCTCCATGACTTTCGGATCGAAAGGCATGTCGGGTCGCGGAGGAAGATTATACGTGGGTGCGCCAGGCCGTCCTCCCCTCATGTCGTCGCCTCGGCCTACTCGCCCACCTCGACGGGGTTGCTTCTGCGCGCGCCCATCGCGGTTGAAACTTTCGTATCCATCTTGCGGATCGTATTCTTCGCGATCGTAGAAACCTCTCTTTCTTGAGCCATTCGGCGACGTGCTGTCAGCCAAAGGTTGCTGTACTGCTTCAACTCCGATCTTTGGGGCTGGAGGAGCCCCTGGGACGTAGGATCTATAGGCGATTGCTTGGAAGACGTCGTCGAGGAAAGCTTTGGGATCTGTGGAATGGATTTGCGGTCAGTTTCCGTGCACAATCGTTCCAAAACCGAGAGTAGTAATGCGCACCTTCGCTTAAAAAGTCTGGAATTTCCTGTTCGCATAGTTTTCGTACCGCGTCTGCGTCGCCATCGTGCTTGAGAAGGGCGATAACATACTCGGCTAGGACGTCGGCGTCGGCGTCAGAGCTATTGTATATGTTAGCGGAGTCTATAGACCGCGAGCCGTTCCAGCACCGCATGGGGAAAATGAGGCTACGGACGTATCCTCAATACGCTTGACTATCCACGCCTTAAGTAGAGGCGCATCTTCTTCAGAGAACAGCATTGTACAGACAACGCGATCGCTCCGTCAATAGCAAGCAACCGCCAGAATGCGCCCGAGACAAAGAACAAGGGTAGATCAGGAGCGTAGGTATGTTGGGTTGACGTTCTGAGGTTGGAGGCTGATTTTTTTGGGTCATGGGCGGTTGGGGCCGTCCTTTGTATTGTGACAGGTCAAGCAGTAAGATCCCGGACATCAATTTGATATATAACAAGTCTCAATACGATCAAATAAAAGGTATTTTTAATAGGCTAGACAAGTGCCAGGAAAGGTAGTGCTCATGTGAATATTTCAATCAATCAATTGCCAAAATTTCGATAGCTCTGTTATGACATAGTTACAGGCAGCCAGTCTGGACGCTGGAGTCAAAATAGAGCTCCATATCATCAGATTCGCTCCACTTTTCAATGAGACCTACTCCTCAAAATTACCAGCAGTAACTCATGTTCCTCGTATCTTCTATGTCGACAGAATTCCAAGTCGATTTTGATCGTCCTCTATGGCAAGTAATGCTCTGGTTTCCTCGCCCAACTTCTACAGTTTCCTACTCATCCAAGTCAACTTACACCTTGGTCTTGACTTCACAACGGTCAAACGACTTCATATGAACTTCAATCTAACGTGTTTCAACTCATCAGATACGACATAACTACATAAAAGCCGAATTGAGCTTCTCCTTGACATTCAGCTTCAACCCAGCCATTCGACTTTTCTTTTGGTTTCCGCTCAGCATGCCGCTCCTGAGATCGTCAAGGAGCTCCTCCGTGGAATTTGACATGCGTCCCAAATCTTCGTTATCAGCCGATTAATCTTGCGTGTCCAACTCGGCACGCTTCGTGGTTCGTTCGGCGCATTAAAAAAAGCCGTTTACAGCTTGTCGTAGTACTATCATGACATGTTAGCATGTATCCTGGGTCGTTGGACTCGGATATTAGACTTACGTTCTCGACACCAGGAACGAGCTCCTTGACACCCTTGCGCTTTCGCATGGTGGTGACGATTTGTCCGACCTTGGTGGTGGAATCGAGGGGAGAGCCACCGGGGAGGATCTGCCAGTGGTCGAAGACGGACTGGGGGAAAGCCTGTCCTGAGGTGGCCTGTCGGAGATCTCCATTGAAACCGAAAGACTCGAGAATGGGGAGGTAAGCCTTGATGTTGAACAGAGGAGTACCAGGTCGCTGCTCTTCGCTGAAGACGTGACCACGTCGTCGGGTAAGGACACCGTAGACACCACCCATGGCCTGCTCAGGGACCTGAATCTCGACAAGGTACACGGGCTCGAGAAGAGCGGGCTCGGCGAGAAGAGAGGCGGCGTACAGGACACGACGGGCAGTGGGGATGATCTGACCACCACCACGGTGAATAGCATCAGCGTGGAGGGTAACATCGAGGATGTTGAAGCGGCAAGATCGCATGGGCTCCTCAGCAACGGGACCCTCACGAGTGGCCCACTGGAAACCGGAGACAACGGAATCCTTGATTTCGTTGAGGTACTGAACGGCCTTTGTCTGGTCGACCAACAGGTTAGCACCAGTGCCGTCAGGGCCGAAGGTCCAGATCTTTCGGGCGTCGGTGACATCCCAGCCGAAGTCGTCAGCAAGGACACGGGCACGGGCCTTGAAATCGTCACGGGCGCTGACCTTGCCAGCCTCGATGGCAAGGGAGAGCTCCTCCTCGATAGGCTCAGCAACCATGTACAGACGGTTGTGCTTGTTGGGAGACTTGGACAGAGCAGTAATGCTGGACTTGGCAGTAACGGTCTCACGGTACTGGACGACTGGGTCGGAAATGATCAGGGGAACACCGGCGTGATCTTCCTCAAGATCCTTGAGGCAAATCTCGAGATGCAGCTCACCGGCACCAGCGACAACATGCTCACCAGACTCGGAGGTCATGGTCAACACACAAGGATCGGACTTGGAGAGACGCTTGAGACCCTCAACAAGCTTGGGGAGATCCTGGGCGTTCTTGACCTGAACGGAACGCTGGACGACGGGGGAGACGGAGAACTTCATGACCTTGAGGTTGTGGGCGGTCTCGCTGGTGGTGAGGGTACCAGACTTGAGAAGGAACTGATCGATACCGACCAGACCGACAATGTTACCGGCAGGCATGTCGTCAATGGGCTCGACCTTGCCACCCATCATCAGGACAGTACGCTGGATAGCCTTGATGAAGAGATCCTCCTTCTTGCCAGGGACGTAGTTGGGACCCTGGATGCGGACCTTGAGACCGGATCGGACGGTACCGGAGAAGACACGACCGAAGGCGTAGAATCGACCCTTATCGGAGGTGGGCACCATCTTGGAGACGTAAAGCATGAGAGGACCCTTGGGGTCACAGTCACGGATACCAATGGCGGCCTCGTCATCAGGGGGACCCTCGTACAGAGTCTCAGCACGGTACTTCTGGGCAGTGGCGGGAGAGGGGAGGTGGAGAATCATCATCTCGAGGAGAGAGTCGGCAGCGGGAAGGAAGGTTCGCATGACAGCCTTGAGGAGCTGCTTGCCCTCCTTCTCACGGTCCTCCGCGTTAAGCTTAAGGTTGAGCTTCTCGAGGAGAGTGGCGATCTCCTCCTTCTTGAAGTTCATAACAGCTGAGAAGATCTTGAAGATGGGGTCGAGGATGAACTGGTTGAAGGCACGCTCGAGCTGCTTACCCTCGTAGGTGCCGTTCTTGGTCCACTTCTTGGTCTTGGGGTTGAAGTAGTTGTCGCCCCAGAGACGCTCCATCATCTTGTTCTTGTCAACACCGAACTTCTTGGCGTATCGGACAGCGAACTGTCGGACGGTGAAAGCCCAGCCGTGCAGACCGGAACCGAAGGCAACGGTACCCTTGTCAGGGTAGACCTGGATGTCACCAATAGACTTGTCAAGGTAGGTAGAAATGATGACGTTAACGGACTCGATGGTTCGGGAGAAGGACTGGTACAGATCCTCCTTGGAGACCTGAAGCTCGAGAAGAGCACGGTCGACCTTGTTGATGATGATGACGGGTTTGATGCGCTCACCAAGGGCCTGTCGGAGGACAGTCTCGGTCTGGACACAGACACCCTCGACAGTGTCGACGACAACAAGAGCACCATCAGTGACACGGAGAGCAGCGGTAACCTCAGAAGAGAAATCAACGTGACCAGGAGAATCAATGAGGTTGATCAAGAAGTCCTTTCCTTCGGTCTTTTGGCCAACAATGTCGGCAACGTCGTCATCCTCACCAAGCTGACCATACAGAGAGATGGCAGTAGACTTGATGGTGATACCACGTTCCTGTTCGTCGGCACGAGTATCTGTGGCTCGGGCATCACCAGCCTTGGCGGTGGAAATGATACCGGCTTTGGCGAGAAGAGAGTCGGTCAGGGTAGACTTGCCGTGGTCGACGTGGGCAATAACGGACATGTTACGGACATTGGTAGGCTTGTCCATAAGCTTCCGGATCTCGTCGATCGTGAAGCTATTGTGAGTGAAGGCATCGCGGTTAGCTCATGGTCGTGCAAGGACGGACGGCTTAAGTCCGAGCGGGGTATGGTGCAGCTGGAGGGGTATGCCATCATGGAATATGGCGCAGGAGAAGATAGTGGTGAGGCCGACGACGAAAAAGTGATGCCGGCGACAGGTAGACGATGATAGATTCGATGCTACTTACTTAACCATCTTGGCGGTATTGTCTGGATGACCTGACTATGTGTGTGTATGTCAAAAGTCGAAGTTGTTGATGTGGGAACAGAGCGGGGTTCAAGTTTTCACCCCGCGATCTGAGCCGCAGAAAAAGGGAAGAAGCAAGAAGCGATTGCCGTCAAAGAGAAAGAAGGCAACGATTCAAGTGACGATGGAAGAGAGACAGTTCCGGAGGAGAACCACTGTCACTCTTTATGCGTCCCTTTTGGCGAGAGAAGGTTTGGAGGAGGAGAAAGAGGGAGGGAAGAAGAGGGAAGAGTTTTGAGCGGGGAGGAGTAAGGTAAGGTAGGTTTGGGCACCTCAAGATTCATTCGGCGAGAAGCCTACGGGCAGCAAGGTTGGACCACCCAGCCCACCACTTAGCAGAGGGCATCCCCACTAAAGCACGAAAGAAAAAAATTTGGACAGTGGGCTTTTCACATTTTTGGTGGGGCAGCAACCGCTCAAGAGGACCCCGCTACACAGTGGTTTTCTGCCACCCGCTGAAGTAATAGGCGCTCCAGGCCCTCATGGAGGGGTTGTGCTCCATTGGTCACGGTCACAATAGGCCCATGAGTCCGCTAAAATTCTGTCTGCTGAGCGGGCATCATGTCCTCCCATCCATGTCCATTGACGGGAGCTTGAGACAATTACCCAGCTTAGCTCTCGGCTGCCAGGCAAGGTATGGATCAATTGCCACAGTCACGGCCGCACAAGATGGGAAATTGGGTTGATCGTAGAGGGCACCAACCCTGGCACGATTCTTTGCCCATGGGACAGGCTTAGTCACCACCGAAAACCCTGAGCTTGGCCCTCCCCTCTCCTCTTCCTCAAGAGCTCACTCATGATGGCAGGGGAATTATTTGCCTTTTTTTTTCTTCTTTCTCTTTTTCGTTGTCTTACCGAATGATTCATCTTATTATAGAACTGCTCTTGTCCCCAGGTAACCGACAGTACTACAACTGTGAGGATACATGGGTGTTTTGTCAAAATGCATAAGCTCACGCATTTCACCCATGCTAACCAAAGTAGTATGTATGAGACAACCTGATGGAGGGGGATTCTCCGTGGGCCCAGCTTGAAACCCAGTCTACCAGTCTCCCCTCCCCTCTACTCGAGTCGGTTACATACGACTGACTCCCTATGACGTGCATGCTCTGCACGTTACTACTGTAAGTCAGTTCTACAGTGGCTTATAGTGATCAGATACAGTACTTTCGTCACTAGAGACATCAACTTTGTGATCGTATCACTTGCGGACCCCTCCCTTTTCTTTTTCTGACGTTTGTTAACTCTTGTTCTTTTCGTCGCCGCAAAAGGTTACGAATATCCGAAGTGGACTGTAGCTTG